AAAAAAAAAATAATAATAATAAAAAATAAATAAATAAATAAAAAATAAAAAGTTTATTGTGTGCCAGGCATGGAGGCCAGCCTGGACTACAATGTAAGTTTCAGACCAGCCTGCACTGTACAGTGAGACCGTGTCTGAAAAAGAAATTATAACAAGAAAATTTTTAAAAATAATTTTTTAAAAACTGAAGTTTGTTACACCAGAAAAATTTAATAAAAACAAATAAAGATCATTCATAGAAACAAATTTTTCTGGTTCCATATGTAATAGCAATTTGACAGAAAAGTTCAGCTCACTATACAAAATCCTGCCGTTTTTTAAAAAATCTGACATTGTCTATAAGAAGCTTGTTATGTTTACAAACTTAAAGTCTAAAACTAAAAAGACCAGAAATCTATATTAGTAAAATAAATAGCTTCAAGACGAAAAACACATGGTCATACCTAAACCTAGATTTTTTAAATTTTTTCTTGGTTATCGAGACTGGAGGTTTTTCAGAATAGTGCAAACGTAATCTTATTTCTGTCTGACAGGTCAGCCACCCACAATCCAGAGTTTCAACACCATCTGGCAGAATAAACATAAAAAAGATATTAGTAAGCATGTTCTTTAAAATAATTTAGTACATACAATACAGACTGACTAGAGAATCTTTGTCTAATCAAAAAATATTGGCAATTCTAGTTCATATTCAATACACTGACCTTTATTTAATAATTTAAATTTAATAATTAAATAATTAATACACTGACTTTTATATAATATTAATTTTTTTAACCCCTAAAGCAAATAGAGAGATAGTCTTAAATTTATCTTAGGAAAAAAACCCCACTAATATGAAGATAAAGAAAAGTTACATGATTAATAATTCACTACTTTAAGATTACTCTTATTAGGGGTCAGGTATAGCTCAGTGAAATAAGCAACTGCCTGGCAAGTGCAAGGTCCCAAGTTTGATCCCCAGTTCTGCAACAACAACAACAAAATTATTCTTATTGAATCTATTACTTAAGTAAATCAAATCTATTTCAGAAGCCATGTTCTAAGAAGGTTCTTAACCTAGCAAATGTTGCATCAGGGATCGCTATTCCACCTCCAAAGCTTCACATGAGATATTCAACTGAAACTAGCTATGCCACTAACACTATACATAAGAGAAATTGTTTAAATAAAATAAACAAGGAAGAATTTAGAACAAAACTAAGTAGATTATGTATTCTCATGTATTGTCATAAACACATTACATGATTGTAAAATAACATAATAATGTTGTTTTAACAACTGAACTTTACCTACTAACATGGGTAATAAAATGTGTATGAATACCAAACTGTCAGCTCATTTGGATATAAGCCTTTTCATCAAAAGGGCTTTAAATAAAAAAGGACATGTCTCTCCTCACGTATAAATGAAAAACATTTAATAATTGTTTTTAAAGTTAAACAGTATTTAAAGTTAATACTGTTTTAAGAATGGACAAAGACAGAAAAATGTTTTCAACCCAGAAAGTTATTGACAGCTAAATTCAGGAAATTTGGAAAACCCCACCAAAAAAAGGGGGGGAAAAAAAAGAGGGAAGACTTGCCATTTTATGACAAAACACATTAAGTAATATATAAAAGTATATAATGCTATATATACATCATAGTTAAAGAAATGAAAATTTATTCCTGTTTGAAGAAAGCTCTTTAAAACAGGCAGTAGGGGCTGGGGAAGATAGCTCAGTAAAATAAGTGCCTGCCTGGCAAGCACAGGGTCCTGAGTTCAATCCCTAGTACCACAAGCAAAACAAAACAAAAAATAAATAAATAAATAAAACAGGCAGTATAAATGCCATTTGTAAATAAAAAGAACAAAAGTAAAACAATAAACCCTAAAGCTATTCAAGTATTATATAAAAAATTGTAAATAAAACTCCAGAAAAGCAGTTCAATTTCTATACAATGCTGGCAGAGCATGCACACTGCTAATGTGTATAAACATAGACCGTAAAACCACAACCAAAACATTCAGGTCCTACTCTTTAGGTGCTTGCTAGAAAAGGAAACTTATCACAGTTAATCTTTGGCTCAGAGTTAGCACAAGCACAAATTCCGCCCCCCTTCCACCTTTGATTCCTAAGGTACCTTTGATTCCTAAGGTACTTTTGATTCCTAAGGTAAAGTTTTCTAAAATGAGAATACAAGTTAGCAGCTTAACCCTGAGACATGAATTCCAGTCACTAAAAAAAATCTGAGGGGGCTGGAGAGATGGCTCAGTGGTCTAAAGCACCTACTTAGAACAAGCTTAGCAAAGCATCAGGGACCGGGTTCGATCCCCCAGCACCACATGCCAGCCAGCCCCGCCCCCTGGTGGGCTGAGCTGGCCACACACACACACCACACTCTCTCTCTCTCTCTCTCTCTCTCTCTCTCTCTCTCTCTCTCTCAAATAAAAAAAAAAAATCTGAATCTTCAGAACATTATTTAAGTGTAAATGCATGAAAATATATAGCATCCAGATGAATGTCCATTTTGTATCTGTGTATTCAAAGTGGTTGGGATAGATATATAGTTACATTCTGTTAATGAATAGAATGATTTGTTCTAATGGTGTTTGTAAATAGGATCACAAGTCCGCATCTTGTACAGCAAGTAATCACTAAGAAGAATATATGCAGTGTATTATTTGTTGAAAAAAAAAAAAATAAAAAAAAAGAAAATATATAGCATTTTCAGCATATTCTGAAGTTCAGACTTTTTTTGTTTTTAATGTATTTTAGTACAGGGTCTACAGATCAGACTTATAGTGATCCTTCCTGTTTTTCAGCCTCCCAAGCACTGGGATTACAGGGGTACGTCACTGTGCCATCTCAATTACCATCTCAGCATGCGCCAGGGGCAGGGCCAGCAAGGCAGGCCAAGAGTTCAGACATTTTCTGTTTTTTTAATTTTTATTTATTTGTGTGTGTGTGTGTGTGTGTGTGGCCAGCTCAGTCCACCAGGGGGCGGGGCTGGCTGGCATGTGGTGCTGAGGGATTGAACCGCAGTCCCTGTGCTTTGCTAAACTTGTTCTAAGTAGGTGCTTTAGACCACTGAGTTCATCTCATTTTCTGGTGTTTTTTTTTTTTTTGTTTTGTTTTTCAGTTTGGGAGTTGAACTCAGGACCCTGCGCTTGCCAGGCAAGAGCTTATTCTACTGAGCTATCTCTCCAGCCCTCAGACATTTTCTTCTGTTCTGTAAATTAAGCTCCAAGATTCAGACTCTAGATTTTACAGAAAATTTATACTCACATAAATGTTCAACATGCACAAACTTAGCTTAAAAGTAATGCTTCACATGTTACATGTTTAAAGCCACCAATATCATTTCAAGCATTAGTGTGGGAAAAAAAGATATGTCAACTGGTAAGTAGTAAGGCAATGGTGGCACACATCTGTAATCAAAGCACTTGGGAGGCTGAGGCAGAAGGATCACTGCAAGTTCAAGACCAGCCTGGGCTACAACGTGAGCTCAAGGTTAGCCTGAACTGCACAGCAAAGACCCTATCACAAAAAGACAAAAAAAAGTTAAGTGTATGTTTTTTATGGGGGTTGGGGGGGTGTTTGTGTTTTATTTTGAGATAAGGTCTATGTCCTTCCAGCTGTCCCTGAACTCATTATGTGGTCCAGGCTGGCCTTAAAACTCACAGTAACCCTTCTGCCTCAGCCCCCTGAATGCTGGAATTATAGGAATGTACTATTATGCCCAGCCAAAACTTTAATATTTATGGAATAGAAAATTATAACTCAATACATGCACACACTGGTTAAGATGGGTTAACAAGTTTTACCACCTTCTCAAGTAAGTATACTGCTTTTAAATTAATTATATAAACTCATATACCTGAAATCACT